AATCAAATTCAACTTTTCTGAAGATAGTTTCCAAATTTGTACTAGCCAAAACTTCACTATATCGAGCGCCGACTGTACAGCCACTCAAAGAAAAACGACTTTTTTAAAACACATAATACATACCTCGCTAAAAAAAATAGAATTTTAAATTGGTTTGACAATTGATAGAAATGAAGGCCATCTCTAGCTTCTTTAACAAGTAATTGGAGTCAAAATTTGTTTTCTAGTACTAGAGTGAGTTTTTTGTTTATTACGTAAATTACTCTCTGAATCCACACAGACGGGGCATATCTACAAGTTACAAATCAAAATCAGATGATTTTTGTGAATGTGTAATTCATGTGCACTAATGTTTCAGCCATTCAAAAAATTTATCATATGTGGTGCGATCTTCATGACAAGCAAGATAAATATTTTTGGACAGAAAAAAATAAAAATAGACAATCATGGTTTTAAGACTTCGGTTCTCGGCTCGAAAAAAATTATTAGAATACTTACATTTTATTATTGTTATATTAAGGGCTCTAAAGTTTTACGAATTTTTCAGCTATTATACCGAATATTATAAATCCTCAATTACAACATCAGGAAATTATTTAGTACTCAAATGGTTCATGATAGAATCGATCTACTTGTTTGCGTTATATAAATTGGAAAAACCAAGTTTACAAGCAACACTTTGGTCCTGGCTATTGATGATTCATTTTTCAAGCATTTTAAATTATAATATTATACAACTTTCACCATTGTCATCAAAGGAGGCTAATAATAACATTACGCGTTTTTTAGATTATTATCTTCATTTTTGTTTTTATACATGCATTGTATATAACATAATCAGAACTAAATATAGATTCTTGATACTTAAATACAAACAAATGTTTGGGGTTCGTACTCGTAGGGATATTTTACGAATTTTATTTTAATTAAGAATATAACTTTTAAGTGACATTTAAAACAAAAATTTTAAATTACATGCATGTATTAAATTTAACACACAAAATTACACATATTTACATATTCACGCTGGCGCACACGTGGACATATTCACATACACATATATACACATGCGACAACAAAATTAATTGCAATAGATAGATGGATAGATATGTTGGCTGTTGATACTTGATAAAGAAAAATGTGTCGGCATTAGGATTATGAAATCAATTTTATTAATACTAATAATAATATAGAATTTTATGATTTTTTATTTATATATATATCGAGATAGGATTATATACACAGATATAAACACATACATGTATATTTTTACGCATTCAAATACATAGATATATTCAGATTTAACTACCTGCGTACATAATCAAAACACACATAATCAAAGATACATGCAATCAAAGACATGCGTGCACACATACACATCTCCCTATTTTTTTATATTTTATATTTGTAGTTGATGGAGTTATTAAAGGACCAAAAACATGGTGAATCATCACCATTTATTTGGTTAACAATCTGACAAAGGGAATGTTTATAGAAATAAGATTAATTATAATAGTGCAATTGAAAGATATATATCAGAGAAAGCGGAAAAAAGAAATATCGGTTAATTTATTAATAAAATATTTTTGAATCATTAATATATGAATGAATCCACAATATTTCAAGTTTTATATACTTTTTCCATTAAATATCCCTCTTGGCTGGCATGATCCAAATAAATTAATATACACAAGATTATATATATCATTATTAATTTTATTATGATTTAATACAGGAGATTTTAAAAGCCATGAATTTTGTTTGAAATTCCGATTTACAGATAGTTTAAAGTTGGATAAAGGAATTTTCATTTGCTTAAATAAAGTATAATTTATAAACTTTACATAATAGTTAACATATAGTTAATGTAATAGTTAATACAATAACATTTATAATGTATAAATTATATACACATATTCATAATATATAAATATTGCAGTATATACACATATTCATAATAATGCTTATTAAACTTATTCTTAGTATTATTCGGCAGGCACTTACTAAAAATGATAATAAAAAAGTTGTTTGGGTTGGTAACTTTAAAATTAATATATAAACGTGGCATATAATACATTAAATAAAATTACCTTCAAGATCTTATTTATTTCTTTTCAAAACTTATTGCCGCGCATATAATTAAATTGGTCCAGATTATTATTATTATTATTATTATTTCCAAATAAACTTGGAGCTCCGTTAAAAAAGCTTTCAACATTTAGATCAATGGCTGTTGTTGTGTTGGCAACAGTTGTTATTGTTGGAGTAGTAGTTACAGTGACAATTGTAAGGTTCCTTGTATTCATTATTCTTCAATAATTTATTTAGAAATTTTAATAAAATAAAATTGCAATTTTACAAGTGAAAAAAAGATTATTTAGAGTTTTATTTATTATTTTTAAGAATATGTAAGCAATATAAATAATGTGAATTGTGAAGTATCCAAATTTGGAAATTACCATAAATGTAAGTAATCAATTATCAAGGATAAATTTGAAATGTCACACTAATTTTACAATACACGGCAAAACATTTTGGCAATAAAAAATAAGCGAATTTGAATTGGATCTAGACTTGATCTTCGATTTAGAGAGGTAACAACTATATACTTGTGAAGTTTCAGAAGCAATGGGTTCTGTATAACACTTCGTGCAAACAACAAACTTCCACATGCTCAATTATCAGGAAAAATTAAAATGGAAGAATATATTGTCATTTTCAAGTTAGATTTTCAAACAACAATTTTACTTCGATGGTTTCTTTAAAAAAAATTTTTCGTTCCTTTTCATTCGCCGTTATAATTTATATCACTTGAAACAACAACAATCAACAACCCCCCCCCCAATTGAGCTAATGACTGCTGATTGGTAATGCGTCATAATCGCCGTCGTCATCATCACAATATTAATTGTGGTGATTGGAAAATATTAACAAATCTTAAATTTTTTTAATGGTTAGAATTCGAGTAATTTTCAATTAATAAACAGATAGGATATATGTAATAATAATAATAATAATACATATAAAGATAGCCAAATCATCAAAAATGTGGTACTGAATGTTAATTATCGTCATTGGTGTAACATTTTCTATTATAGGTGCATTCAATGAAACTCGGTGGATAACCGATAATCAATATTTCGTGTAGCTGAATTGAAATGAAAAATTTCTCATGTCCAAATAAATTCTCGTTGTTTGTAATTAATTAATTAATTCATTTCATTTAAAATGGAAGAAGGGCCTACAGTTATTATAATAAGAGAAAGTAATGATACAATAATGAGAGGGAGAAATCTTCCGCAGCACATATCTTGAAGAGAGGGTGGGTTTTAAGAAATCAAAATGATCCATTCTTGTGGTGAAAATAGATTTACTGTTTTACCAAAGTTTGCTACTAAACACTTGTGTGCACCTACAACGTCCACTCCAAATGGGAGACTACTTGGTCAGCTGGAAATACAATAACCTCAAAAAGAACAAAGTTTATTTGTTTTTTTGAAATAATTTAAAATTCATTGTTAACACTCACTGAATAATCAATGAATAATCATTCACTGAATAATTAATTTTAATGAATACGACCTCTACTTCTATATATTAGTAAAACACAAACGGTACAAAAAACAACAACAGATTACGTCCAATTATGTATATGAATTTTTAAATTAGGAGGTTTTAAATGATTTCACACATAAACACTCCCCCAAATAATGAGTCGAGTGAGAGCTTACAATAGATTTCTTATATTGGACAATAAAAAGACTTGAAACAAATGAACACGTTTGCTAAATTTAACGAATTATCGAGTGCAATAAAGATTAGTTTCATTGATTTCAAATTTAAAAATGGAACTGATGATGAGAGTAAATAAATGAACAGGAAAAAGTATTAACACGTGGTGGTGGACTTATCAAAATTATTTTATATATATATATTTGTTTATTATTTGGATCTGTTGAAATTTTAAGGAGGATAAACAAATAAATAATTAATAAACAAACAAACAAATAATAATAAAAATTTTTTTTTTCAAGGACCAAACAATTTATGTTGATCGTGTCATTCTTACTGCCAAAAATAACAATTTAAAAACGGATGTCCAAATATATTTATGACATTACGACATTATTATTATTGTTACGACATAACATTAGGACATATGATAATTTGAAAACGAATGTCTAAATATATTACGTCATGTCAAAAGTCATAATAGTTTGTATAATTTAATTAGTAAGGGAATTGAGATTAATGTAGATCATTTGCTCGGCTTGGTCTATTCCAAGATATTCAATAAGCAATTTTTATAAATGAAAAAAATTTTTTATTAAACTTTATTCTCTGTAGGAATATGTCACACACACACACACACACACACACACGTATATATGTAAGCAATATAAATAATGAGAATTGAAAAGTATTCGAATCTGGAAATTATCATAAAAAGGATCTTGTTTATTATATATATATATATATATATAACAATCATCAGGAAAAATTATAATGAAAGAATATCTATCATTTTATTGTTATTTCCAAGGTAAATCTTTAAACAACAATTTTATTTTCAATGGTTTCTTAAAAAAATCGTTTTTGTTCCTTTTCATTCACCGTATAGCTTTTCAATTTTCAAATCCAAATGTTCAAGCAAACGAATGCCAATTTTTATGACGATTATTGTTTATTGTTTTTATTTGTTCATCACTTCAAAAATTCGAAACAACAACAATCAACAAACCCCCAAACGACTAAAAATAATTTATGAATTGCGGTTATGATTGGTAATCGCACCATTATCATTATCGTCATCATCATCAAAATATTAATTATTGTTATTGGAAAATATTAACAAATCTTAATTTCAAATTTAGCATTTTAATAGTTTTTCAATTAATAAACATATAGATTCCTTAATATCGTAAATGCACATACATATAAAGAGAGCAAATCATCAATCTTTACTTGATTATTTGGTTTCTGTCATTATTATTATTATTAGAATACACATTTTATTTTGAGGTTAATCTGACTAAATAATCTCTCGCTTGGAGTGGACGTTGTAGGTGGATACAAGTATTTAGTTGACAAACAGGAAATCTATTGTTATTATGTTTCCATCACAAGAATGGACCATCTTTCCATATCCAACTTGACCACCCTTTTCTTCAACATTATTGTATTGTTGCTTTCTCCTATTATAGTGTCTGTAGACCCTTCTTCCATTTTAAATGAATGGAAGTGAAATAATTAATTTAATTAATTAGAAATGGACAAACAGAATTTATTTGGACATGAAAAATTTCAATTCAGTTGTTACGCAAGATATTGATTCAACAAAATATTTATTGAATGCAAGCTTCTAACAAAAAATAAAAAAAAACCAAGTGAATATTCTATATTTGATGATTTGGCTTATTACATTTTAGCATTTAAGGAAATCTGTTTATCTTGTGATTAATATTGCGAATTACAGTGATAATGACGACAGCGACGACGACAAGGACACGGTGCAATTTTCATTACTATTTATAAATTATTATTATGGGGTTGTTTCAGATTTTGACTTATTGAGTACAATAAATCATAAAAATAGACTTGAGCCAGAAACCTACCTGGTAATTGATTACTCAACTTTATTATATATATTATAATAAATAAAGATATTCTATATCCTTTTTATTTAATTTTCAAATTTGGATACTTGACAATTCTCATTATTTATATTGCTTATTTATGTAAACATATATATGTGTGTTATATTCCTACAAAGAATAAATAAAAATTTTTAAATTTTTTTTTTTAAAAATTTTGTTAATTCAAACCAATAAACTTATTGAAGAATGAATACAAGGAACTTTACAGTTGTTACAGTAACTACTACTCCAACAATAACAACTGTTGT